GAGGCCTGCTTGTTGTGAAAAGCTGCATTTGAAAAGGGGTCTTTGGACTGAAGAGGAAGATGCAAAGATACTCGCGCATGGGTCGAAGCATGGAAATAGTAACTGGACTGCTTTTCCGAAAAAAGCAGGTTAACTTTGGTGTTCTTTTTCCTCAATTCTTTCTTGACCGGGTGGCCAGAGGATGTTGGTGGATTATATGCTACATTTCTGGGCTAATTAACTTAATGTATGAGTGTTTACAGGACTTACAAGATGTGGGAAGAGTTGCAGGCTTAGGTGGACTAATTACCTGAGGCCTAATCTCAAGCATGAGTCCTTCACACCCCATGAGGAGGAATTGATTGTCAGGCTTCATGCAACCATAGGCAGCAGGTTTGGTTTTTTCATATGCAGACTTCTAGCTATTTACAATAGTTCATCCAAAGCCTCCTTCCTTGCCTATCTTTACTGCTAATGCATCATTTCACTCTTGTTTTTACTACTTAACATTGCAGCTACATTGTCCTTGTTATCCTTCTTGTACAAACATTTCATTTGATCATAGGTCTTCTACTGCTGTTTTCCATGAACTATATACTTTAGGGGGAGGAATTTGGGAAGAAAAATTCTCACTAATCTTTACTTTATGGTATCCGATCTGATCTGCATTGTCGTTTCCAGTTCATAGTTTTTCTGATTTAACCTTTGGAGAGAGAGCCTGTGAATTTTGAACAAACTAATAATTGTCAAGAAATTGTACTCAGGATAAAAAGCTAAAAGGTAGGGGCTCTTTTAGCTCCTAATTGTAGCAAGTGTGCTTATAGTCACAATACCTGAGTGACCCAACAACCTTCACTGATATGACAAAATGAGAAATTCACTTCGTATCCAAAAGTCAACCCAACAGATCATATGGATTGCCAAGCAAGAAGACAAGCCCCAATCCCCAAGCCTCATTTTCTGTTGCTAATGCAAGAAACCTGATCCTCTCTCACTATATTTTATCATGGATTCTGTGGTGCAGGTGGCCTATAATAGCTCAGCAACTTCCTGGGAGGACAGACAAAGATGTAAAGAACTACTGGAACACTAAGCTGAAAAAGAAGCTCTCAGAAATGGGAATTGATCATGTTACTCATAAGCCCTTCTCTCAAATCTTAGCGGACTATGGAAACATCGGTGGCCTCCCAAAAGCTGGAATGAGAATGGCAATAGGTTCTCTCAACAAAGACTTGAAGAATGCAATCCTGATGAAGCCAGAATTACCATATTCATTGTCAACACATGGATTTTCCAGTATCAATAGCCATTTGATGCCAATGACAATGATACCAATCAAAAGGGAACCAATTCAAGACGGTTTCTTGAGCAACGCTCAATCCAGCAACCAACCCTTTGATCTTCTTACACAGCTGCAGGCCATAAGATTGGTGACAGAGGCGTCAAACTCAACCAACCTTGAATCTTCCCCTCCCAATTTGTACATTCCTGAAGGCACATTGTCATCATCACCATCATCTTCTACTTGTTCATCTGCTGCTCAAGAGCAGGCAACCCTGCAGGCCTTTAGCTGGAGCGATTTTCTCCTTGAAGACGCGTTTTTTCCAACCTGTGATGCTCAAGAACACGAGGATAAGGCTGAGTATTCGTCGATGGACATGTTGAACCAATCAAAAGCAGCAATACCGCAAAGCCAAATTGAAGACCAAGCTGGTATGCAAAAATATAATGAAGTTGAGGCTACATCTCCATGTGACAGTTCATTTGTGGAGGCCATGGTCGCAAGAGAGAATGAGATGTTCTTGGAGTTTCCCCAACTTATGGAAGAACCATTCTACTACTGAGTTTACATTTTACTCCAGAATTTATGCCACTGTTTTTAATAAGATTTTCTATAAAATTAAGCTGTGAGAATAAGAACCTGATCACAGGCCTCTCCTCTTGTTGGCACTTTATGCCTCGGGTTGTATAATGCAGCTGAACTTAGTGACTTTCTTAGCATCAAAGCCAAATTAGTGGTATTTTAACCAAAAAAAGAAGAAAAAAGAAATCTATCAGAGCCTGGTTTCGATCCAGGGACCTGTGGGTTATGGGCCCACCACGCTTCCGCTGCGCCACTCTGATTTGTTGAGATTATTTTGATCCGAAATATAATTAACTAATAAGCACTGTCCACACTTTAATTAATTTTTAAAAACATTTTTCTGTTGGATATTAAACATCTAAAATAAAATAAAATAAAAGACATCCGTAGAATTGTTTTACCCGCGTTTGCTTTATTATATAAACCCCTTATTAATTATCTTTAATAATACCCACTTAAACACTTTCCTTCTTCTTCTTCTTCTTATAAAAAATTCAACAACATCAAATCAAAAGCAGAAAAGCAGAGATTGAAGCAAAATAGAACCTTAAAAAATGGTGGCAATTTCGTTGTACAGAGGAAACCTTCACAGAGTCCCGGACGTACCTCGTCGATGGCTTATGCCAACCCCTAAAATTTCTCTCAAGGACTTCAAATCCCTTTTAACCCGTCGCTCTATAGCTCTCTCTCGCGTCCGCTCCACCCTCCCCGCCACCTCCTCTAACCCTAACCCTAACCCTTCTTTTGTTCCAGAACAGCTCAATGAAGCACCAAAGATGAACACTTTGACACACCCCAAGATTAAATTCGAAGCACCGGAGAATGTTGTTGCTGATTGCGAAGCTGGGCCTTCTGGGGTCGACAAGGATGAGAAACAATCGGACGGTGCTGATTTTACGGTGAAACCCGTTGATGGGTCCGATGCATCTCCTGCTTTTAAACCCGATTTGCCTGGGAAAGGTTCCGATGCTGTGGATGTCGGGGCAAATTCACTAGCTGTGAAGGTTGAGAAAGTGGATGAAGTGGAAAACCCCAATTCCGAGGTAAGCAAGAATTGCCAGTTTTATGAATTAGTAGAATTTTGATTTCGAATTGGGTATTTATGAGTTTATGTTGTTCTTACACTGAAGTATGAAATTTGGATTTGAAGTATCAATGTGTGAAGAAAGAAACGAGAGTTAGTTCCAGCTGTGATTCTTAATGCTTACCAAATCAAAACAACTTAAATCTATGTACGCATTGAGAAAGCAAGTCCAAGCATTCATTTGATTTGTTGAACTATGATTACAAAATCAAGTGTTTTTTATTGCGCAGTTTTGAGCAATGTTTAGTAACTACTATTGTTTGTTTATATGATAGGCACATAACAAAGAGGATGTGTTAGATGAGAAGCAAAAAAGGAAAAGAGAAGTTGAGGAGAAGCTGCAAGTTTTGAATCAAAGGAAACATACTATAGTACAAGTCTTGAAGCAGGTAATTTTTTGGCCTCGTTATTCATTTGTGTGTATCTTTATGTTACATTGGGAAGGATCAATACTAAGGAGTTGGTTCGTGGTGTTTTACAGATGTTAAATGCCGAGGAGGAATTAAAGAGACGAAGTAGTATGCAAGGAATGGTGGTTCGCCCATCTGCATCACTTCAAGTGGATGTAACAAATGACTCCGGGTCAATGACTAGGCATGCTGCTGCTAGGTTGGCCTCGGAGGCGAATCTTGAGATGGAAGGGTGTGAAGGTGATGAGCATTCGAATCATAACTTTCATTCTCGCCATATCTTCCGGATGAACAGCACATCCCCATCTTCAGAGTCTCCTCTCAGAAGGCCAACTCATATTCAGCACAATGTGGTAATGTATTTTGGTTCCTACTACAATTTCTATGGTACCAGTGAAGTGTCTGTGCATGTTCCGATTTTGCTTTCATTTGTGTTGACTGCCATGTTGATGGTTTTATAATTGTCTTGTGAAAGCTTATAAACTAAGGATCTTTAAGTTAAGTCTGGGACTTGCAAAAGTAGTTTTCTTAAGAAAAAAAGAGATTCTTAAAAATATGAGGAAGTACTTTGCAATTAATGTCTCTTTGCTTTGCTATCTATTCATGAACTCATTTTCAGGTATCAAATTTTTGTGCAGGTTCCACACCCCTCTCGGGCAAGTTTGGGGGCTACTGGCAGCAGTCCATCGCGCTTTGCTCCTGCAGGGCACCAGGGGAATCCTGCAACTCTTCCCACATTATCTGTATCAGGTACAAACTACATGGCATCCTCCCCATCCCCTGCAGCGTCTGGCGGCACTTCTGCTTTCAGAGATGCCCGGCTGCCAAGTCCGTGGAATTAGATTTGTGTTATGCACTCCCTTTGTTTACCATGGGGCTATAGGTTGATCGTGGGGATGGAATGAAGAACATTAGACAACTATGAAGCCATCCATTGCATTCACGTAGGGGATTCAAAATTCTGGTGACTTCAAGGATCAGAAGCCTGTCTCAATTGGGTTCCTTTCTTTTTTCGATCTTAGTATCTTTGTAAATTAATGAAGCTTGTCAAATTGTAACAACAACAAAAGGGGTTGTCAAATTGAGCTGTAATGAAGGCGTATGCCGACTGATAATTTTTCTGGACTTTTGTTACACTGATTCTCAGGGTTATCAAGTTCATATTCCTATCAATTCAATCGACGATCAATCAAAGTCCCCACACGAATTCTATTATTGAGTCTAGGGGATCCAACTAAACTAGAAAAATCCAATAATTGGCTGTTCGATTAATACGCTCACCAAAAGTCATGTGACAACTATAAACAAATAGGATTGGTAGGGTACCATGCAAATTCTTGCCCTATGCTAAAATTGTAAGACAATATCACCCAAATGTTGCCCTAGGCTGCACACTAAAGCTAGGATCATTTAGATAGTTGCAGTCAACGGTCAAAACATCACAAGGCTCCCTTGTCCTCCGCCAACGGCGCACGTTAGAACAAGAAAAACAGAACCAGATCTCACCACACAAGTCCCAATCCAATGAACCCCACCACTGACCACACTCCAAAAACATATTAACACACATAAACTCCTCCACCTCCATTTCCATTTCCTCTGATTTATCCACCCACCACCAAACAAAAAAAAAAAAAAAAAAAAAAAAAAAACAATAACCAGTATGGAACCAAACCCACCACGGCGCATTTTAGCAGCACCAGAACCAAAAGCATCCATGGATCACACCCTCAAAAAACAGACGAAGCCCTCCATTTCTCAACACCTATCTAATAACCTAGATTCTTCCATGCCCTGTAAACCCTCTTCCATTTCCAGCAACAGCTCTAGAGTCAATACAAGTCATAGAGTTCGTACTTCACAAAGACCCAGCAGTCAACAAACACTCCCATCTTTCACTGACACTCGTTTGCAAGCCAAAGCCATGTCAGTTTCTGCCATAATGGGTTCCTCCAAGTCTTCCATTAAATCAAATCCTCAGCCCAAATCAGTTGGTCCCAATATTGAGAAACAGAACAAGACAACAAAGGAATTAGCTTGCAAAGACAAGTCCCAAAAATCCAGTAAAGATGTGGAAAAGAAGAAATTTGAGGAGGTGGTTGTGAAGAAGAAGAAAGAAGCTCAAGAGGGATTGGTGGGTTTTAAAGAAAAGCATGAATTTGATAATAGGAGATTGTCAGTTTCATTGAACTCAAACGGTGGCAGAAGGAGATCCCTCTGTGGCTCACAGGTTCAATTGGCAGATGTGCTTGCAAGTTATGGTGTGAAAATTGTTTCAGCTGATATGCCACCATTTATGCAGATCCATGCTGTTGAATGTGCAAGAAAGACACATGATAGCCTGGAAAAGTTCACCTCCAAGACTCTTGCTTTGACTCTCAAAAAGGTATTAACAGTTGTTATTATGAGCTTAATTATCCAGATTAGGACTTTAAACTTTGATTTGGTTGAGATTACTGGTGTGATGTGGGTTTTATGAGTTGATGACTAATTAGTGAATGGTTTGTGGGGTTGTGCAATTTTTGTGCAGGAATTTGATGGGGTATATGGGCCAGCTTGGCACTGTATTGTAGGAACCAGTTTTGGGTCTTTTGTGACACACTCTGTAAGTGGGTTTCTGTATTTCTCAATGGATCAAAAAATGTACATCCTCTTGTTTAAGACAACGGTACAAAGAGCAGACTGAACAGTTGGAAAGCTCAAGAATTTTTAGTGTAGGAAGTTCTGGAAAGCTCAAAAATAAGTTATATTCTTTCGAGCTTGTACATTGGTTAATGGTTATTGCAGGGAAAGCATAGGAGAGATGGAAATTTCTCCCCATCTTTTTGTTCATAGACATTTACTTAGTTGTAACTTGTAGGGGCTTAGTATTTGTCTAATTGAGAAATATGAAATCCCTTCTTCTGGCCCTGTAAGTCTATATGTATCAGTGTTATAAAATCATAATATAATTGTCACAATGTTCTTTTTGGTTGCTTTTCTGTGTTTTTCTTTTGGTTCTTGCATCAGTGGTCATAGGAGAATGATAGGATCACCTGCATTTGAGTTTCACACCAGATAAATTGAATTTTCTCATGATCTTAGGAGTTGATATATTTCATGGACCTCATGCTACATGGTTGTTGCTTTGATTTAACCATCTAATCTAATGTGAGATGATTTGGCATTTGATCTATGCTTCAGATTCAGTGCATTATAACTTGCACCGCCTGCCTATTAGTAAACTTGCATTCTGCATTTAATCCATCAAATGATAGCATCCAAAAAGGTCATAAAATATGTCCTGTTTCCAAACTTGTATTGTATCTTTATATATTATTGGTAGTTTGGTCAGAGACTCAGAGGCCCCTACGGGCTACACTCACAAACCCTTTAGGCTTGGTTTGGGGATACCAAACTAAGCCTTAGACAGTTCTAGGACCCCCTCCCCCAAATCAATCATTTAACTGCTTGTAAATTGGGGCCTTCTGTTCCATCAATTAAGAACATAGGCATACAGCGCTGATGTTGCAGCCTGTAGATAGGTAGGATTGGAAAGGCAACAAGGATGGGGTATGGGTGAGGGGTTCAATCCAACCATTAAACGTCAACATTTTCAACTTACACATGGTTGGATTGGACCCCTTACTTAAGCCCCTCACCCATATCTCCTTATTGTAGTCGAAAAAAACTTGTATGAAACGGGGATAACATTGTAATAGCTTCTGGACCATTTTGAAAGGAAAGCCACCTCTCCCGCATCATCTTCACAAGCAAAGCAATTGGGAGACCATTTGTCAATTTGTGCATCTAAACAATGGGGCTTTGACTAAAACTTGGGTCCTAGCCCAAAATTCATTTCTGTGGCACCTACTGCGCCCTAGATTTGATCAAAGTCATAAGCATGCAACTGGGTTTGCCTCCATTGAGATGAAATTTGATCTTGATGTGGGCACATAAATAAGGGTTGAAGACTTCAAAATTCAAAGTCTTCCTATTGGCATAAAATTTCCATTTTTGATTGCACTGAAATGAAAAACGATATTTCTGCAGACAAACCCTTCAGTTGTAGGTTACATGAAGAAGGAACAATGATTGAGCAAAATAAATTGAGTGCGTACACAAGCATTCTGTTAGATATTACGGCCATCACATGCAAAATGCAGAGCTTTTGTTTGACTGCATTGATAAAGTAGCCACATATATTGCAAATGTACCAGATAATAATAAGTTCTAACAGTTCATGTACAGGTGACAGAAAAAGTTGACCTAGTAATTTCCCAAGTGAACAGGAAGTTCCTAAACAGAAAAGAAAGTTGGCATGATGGTGGTACTGTTTTGTTCTTTATTTAAGTTTATCTTTCCCCTTCCAAATTAAGAAGCCACTTCAATTTCAACCAATATCAAACAAACACTAAATCATAAGTATTTGAAAGATAATATTGATAAGAGTTCATATAATTAAGGTTTTAGTTTGAAAATCTATGTTGATTTGATAAAATAAAACTCACATGGTATTCGTGTGTGAGTTTTTCCTCCTCCTCTTTTCTAACTTTGGTAATATAATATATATATGTATAACTCACTGTCCAAATTCTACTATGCAAAGAGCCAAGTTTGTTGCTTCATGAAAATTTGAAGCCTTGAAGAGGTAGAGGTCTCAACTAATTATATGAGCTTGACTCCCTATCATTCCTGTAAAAGAGAGGAAGAAGGCAAAAATATCAAGTACTTTTAGAAAACCATTATACCACCTTTCTTTACCATACTATTACTATGGTAAATGTAAAAAATTGACCTGATGTCTCATTTGGCTCAAATTTTAAATGGATGCAAATGACCTGTAACAGTCCTTTAATGACTAACCCAATACTGATTGTTCAAGCTAAGGTTCTTTTTTCTTTTCTTTTCTACCAAACATCAAATTAAAACTGTTTTTCCTAGCATTTATTTCAATTTCTTGGCTCCATCTGCAACAATACATGCCATGACACAAACCCTTGATGCAAAAAATTGAAAACTTAGCAAGAGAGGCATAGAAATCGCTTTTGATGTCAGGCAGGTGCAAATGTATGAAGTGGACATGATAATGAAATGGGGTCATTAACCCTATTTCCAAATCCATGATAATGAGGCACGTTTTGATATCCAAATTAGGAATAGGAGGCTCCAAGAGGGAGTTAGTCTCTCTCACAAACCCATCAATGACACAATGGCAAGTCAACTTTTGCTTTGCGTTGGGCAAGATTCTAAGATAGAGGGCACATGATGAGGTTGGCAAAAACTATCTTGGGCATAATCTCAAACACACTTTCTCTAGTGTAACTATAATTGCTTAGCTGAGTATCATTTTTCTGCTAAGCAAGTTAGGCAGTGACAAATAAGAAAGGGGGGGGTTAGGCAGTGATGGTGCTCTAAAGCTATTTTAGCTACGAAAAATAGGCAAAAAAGAAAAAGCTTTCTCCACAACATAAAATTCTTTGAAATTAATTTGGAGGGTTTGTATTGTTCACTATAACAACCCACCAAGCCTTGTTTCCACCCAAATTTTTATCTCTGGACAGAATAAGATGCCAATTGAAAATTCTCTCACATGAACAGTAACTTTAACAAAATGCATGTGGCATGAACTATTCCATATGATTTATTTTTGTTTGGGTCCCATACGGTGTACTTGCTATCTAGGCACTATTCTAAATTGAGTAATTTTTATTTGCATGGAATTTGACATGTTAAGTCATTAAGGCCGTTAATCAATTACATATGTAATGTAAATGGTTAATAGAAGGAAAACCGAACACAAAATTTCATATGTAAGGATAAATACTCCGAAACAGTTAAAGTTTGTAACTATGTGATTGGCTGAGAAACTATATAATTTGAATTAGAGATGTGTGCTAGTATTATACATATATGGGTTTGGACTCTTTGACCCCACTTTCTTTCTAATAATGTAATGGTTAGGCACTTGATCCCATACCTTGTTAGATCAACCAATTAAGCAACACTTACAGGAAATTAAACAAATAAAAAAAACTAGGAAAATGCTGTTGGGCACGTGTCTCTTACAGAAGAGCGGATACATTAATATGCCGACGGTAGCTTTCCTGGATAAACTGTATCCCCTCCTCGGATAAAATAACCCACTTGCCAAACTTGCCGCTTCTCTCTCTCTCTATAAAGGCTACAGCTTTCACTGTCCCGTGGTTAGAAAGCACAGTGGGCGCAATGCGCACTACTCTCTCTCCCAGTCCAGCCAAAGGATCACACTCTGCTGCTCTCTGCCCCCACACTTCCTCCCTTTCTCTCTCTAACTTTCATCATCATCCATTAATGCCTCTCTCTCTCTCTCTCTAAAGACCAAATCTTTCTCTCTCTAAATAACTTGTTAAATAACCCATCAGCTCACTAAATCCCTCATTCACTCCCACAAGCTCTTCAGAAGCTCGTACACACACTTAACACACTCTCCCTCTCTCTCTCTCTCTCTCTCTCTCTCTCTCTCTCTCTATTGGTAGCTCAAGTTTCGGATTCGGATTCGAGGTCGGGTCGAATGAATTCGGGCTTTTGAGAAAATGGATCCTCCACTGATTAACGAGTCTTCCTTCTCAGCAGCTAACCCATCAGCGTACAGCCTGGCAGAGATTTGGCCCTTCAGCGGTGAACCCGGTGGAAGTGGTAGCGGGTTGGGTCTCCGAATGGGTAGTTTGGGTGGGCTTGGAGACAGCTCCGTGAACAGAGATGGGTCGTTGGAGGAATCGACCGTGACTGAGCAAAGCGGTGGCGGTGGTGGAAGAAAGAGAAGGGATGTGAGCTCTGAGGACGAGTCTTCTAAGCTGGTTTCCACTAGTAGTGCCAGTGGCTTGGTTCGTATTTCACTCTTTTATGTGAAATTTGATTGCTTGGCTCAATTTTGAGTTTGGTTTATGAGAAAATGGAGCAAATTAGTACTAAAGCAATGAATTTTGATGTGTGAGTCTGTTTTCTTTAGCTGAATTGAGGCAAATGGATGAAAGTAATAAGAAATGGAATAAAAATTAAGCGCGGATCTTTATATTTTAACTTAATTTAGTGAATATTTTGTTAGCAAATAATTGAGGGAAGTAGTGAATTTGTGTAATTATGATTGTGCTATGTAAGCTATCTATAAAGAATTACTATTGGTTGTTCTTGTATAGCCTTTGTTTCCCCTGTAATTTAGAAGTGATATTGTGAGTATTAATGCATCCAATCATGGTGTGATGTGTTATCTTTAGCGAGTTAAGCTGTATTAGACTAGATATGGATTGAGGCTCTAATTGGTGTTTGTGTCTTATATGTTGTTTACTTGAATCTTAAATTTCTCTTTTGATGTTTAATTTTTAACTTTTTCTGTTTGTTTCAAACAGAAAGATTCCAGTGGAAAACGGATGAAACTAGCAAGATCTCAAAATGAAAATGGTGGTTCGAAAGTTGAAGTTGAAGAAAGTTCAGCAGCTGGTGACAACAAGCCAGCTGAACAAAGCACTAAACCTTCAGAGGCACCTAAGCAAGATTTTATCCATGTGAGGGCACGAAGGGGACAAGCTACTGACAGCCACAGTCTAGCAGAGAGGGTAATGCACTTTTGGTCCTTTTTGAATTTGCAATATTAGTGTCTAGAACATCAAACAAATTTTTCATGCTCTTTATGGAGTTCTCTAGATCTTGATATGGAATATGTTTTATATAATGAACCTATTCCGTTTTATCTTTGACATGTTTGGTAAATCAGTTTTGATCCTTTCACTATTGAAACATGCCGCATACCATGCTCATTTTGGCAGGCTAGGAGAGAAAAGATCAGCGAGAGGATGAAACTTCTCCAAGATTTGGTTCCTGGATGTAATAAGGTAGTGTATGTTGTTTGGTTGGTTTTATGCTTAGCATGTGTAGGTAGTATGTTCTACATAGTTTAGCATAGGGAATCTTTGTTATGTAATTTGTTGTTTCCGATTTCTTTACTAGATTAATTGTGAACATGTCCTGGTAATTATCTAGCATGTTCCCCTTACATATGTTGTACTCTTCTTCTGAAAAGGTTATTGGGAAAGCACTCGTCCTTGATGAAATTATTAATTACATTCAATCACTGCAGCACCAGGTTGAGGTATATATTCCATCTGACTCTAATCTAGTGCACTTGGTGACATGGTTTTCCTTTAAACTGTTAACCTGAATCTGTACTTTGTTAATTGGATTCTGTAGTTCCTTTCAATGAAGCTTGAAGCAGTCAATTCAAGGATGAACATGAATCCCACCATTGAAGCCTTTCCTTCGAAAGATGTAAGTCTGGTGTACTTTTATTACCTTCATAAAAGCCATTGACTCTCTGTTTGGAACTATTTTTCGATATAATCTTAGAGATGCATTATTATTTCTGGTTCAATAGTTTTTTCAAAGACCCTGCTGCTTTTTTAGATTGTAAACCCTTTGTCTGGGGATTCTTTTTTGTACAACTCTTCAATCTCAGAGATACATCAAGGAATGTAAATGTCTGTCAACCAAGTAGTCTTGGTAAATAATATCTAACTTGACTGGCAGTAAAATTTAGTCCAAGAGTGCAATTTCATTCAACTCCTAGGACTGTTCTTGTTGTAGACTTGGCTGTTGGGCATCATAGTTATGCTACTGATTCCTCAAGATTGGTATTTGGGCATTTCTGTGCCATTTTGAAGGGAATAAGCAGACAACAAGGCACCTTCTAAGCTAATTGTTTTCTATAATCTAACCCTTACTATATGCATGATGAAGATTCCAGGGTATCTCTTCTAAACTCCATGATGACTTTTTTTTTTGAATAGAAACATTTTTATTCAAATTTGAAAGGATTAAAAACAAGGACATTTAGAACACAGACAAAAAGAAAAAACACTAGCCGGTGAAACAGACACAAAGCCACTCAACACAGAAGTAAAACAACCAAACATAAGACAACCCCTTAAGATACTACAGCCAGCAGATTGCGCATAATTGTAGGATAGGATATATCCTTAAAAGCAGGGGAAGTTGATGCCCAAAGGGCAGCCCAAAACTTCACTCTATCCCATAAGTCTACCACTCCCACTCCCTTATAATCCTCGAAGATTCTCCTATTACGTTCCAGCCATAGGTTCCAGACCACTGCATGCATCAGGCTGCCCCAGAGAATTTTAGCTTTCTTTCCCCTTCCCAAAGCATCAAATCTGATGGAAAAAAGTTCAAAGCAGCCTTCCGGTATTACCATTACCCACACCGTGTTAACTTCCTTCAGTAACATCTCCCACAACTTTAGAGAGAAAGGGCAATGAAGGAGGAGATGGTCCACGCTCTCCCCTGCCTTATTACATAGAGGCTAAGGCACATATAGGGGCAGTGTCTCTGTAGTGTATCACCTGTATTTAGTTTTCCCAACACCGCTTGCCACACAAAGATCTTAACTTTCGGAGGAGTCTTGGCCTGATAATAACAACATTTTCTTAGTTTTTGATGTCCCTTGGAGTGTAAAGTGCTTGGTTGCATTCCTTTTCTATCATCATCATCATCATCACCATCACCATCACCATGGCTTTTATCCTTGTCTATATTCTCATCCATTCCAACTCCTATTTGGTGTATGTGTTTGACATGCTGATTACATTGTATATCTTTTCTCCTAAAGATAGTGTGACCTCATTAGTTCTTGTGGAGGATGTTTCTGTCACGGTTAGTGTACTAATGTAGGTGCTGAGTAAGATTGTGAACTCATTGGTTTTACTGTCCCACGAAGAGAAATATTTTTGGATGCTGCAATAATTTATACAGTTTCATAGGTTCACTAGGTTATTTCCGTTAAACTGAGACCCTTTAAATGCACGGAAAGACAATTCTGTTTAGGTATATGCTATATGATCTTACCAATTGACCTGGTGTTTCAGCTTGGTGCACAGCCATTTGATGGTGCAGGATTGCTATTTGGCTCGCACACACCAAGGGAGTATGCCCAAGGCTCACATCCCGAGTGGCTACATATGCAGGTCGGCAGTAGTTTCGAAAGAGCAACGTAAATTCAGGGGATAATTCTTCAAGTCATAATTGGTGGGCTTGTGATTAGGTTCTACATCTGGTGTAGAAATGTGTTTGCTAAATGTACGATCATTCTTATTGTTGTAATAGGATATTAGTTGTAGGAATGCATCTAATCTTCGCATGTATCATCTGACTAGATATACTCTACTTTGTTGTACGAGTAGTAGTACCCAGAAAATATCTTAGAGTGGCTTAGTTAAAATGTGTAACAGAAGGATTGTAATTGTGCTTGCCAGAATTTTTATATATAAAATATCTGATTATTTTTACATAATATTACTCCGTGTCACGAATATGTATGGACCCCGGCTATGAAATAATTGAATCAATTTACTTTTCACTTTCTATCATGTTTTAATGTTGTTAATTATAATTTTATATCTTGAAAAGTCAAAAGAAAAAGAAAAGGAGAAAAATCTTCCACCCCTTTTCTTCCCTTCCTTTTCAGCCCCTTCTCCTCCCTCCAGCCAAGGTTTCATGGCAAGCACGTCTCAGCTAGAATCCGATCATGGTGTCATGGCCAGAGACGCCTCGATGTACTTATGAGAGGCACCCCTCGAAAACAAAGTGAAATGTAGTCTTTACTGAAAGTACAATATGAACAAGCGAAACTATTACTGTATGATCCGTTGATGGCCAACAGACCTGGAAACAGACTGGTATAACAACAGAGAAAACAGGGGCAAGAGAGACAAAACCCAGTTTAGCAGCACAGTCTTCAAACAAAACCGAACTTATAATACACAGTATTTTAAAAGCCAAACTTGGATCTGATGGTGTTGATGACATCTTTATCTACTTGAAGTGCCTTGGTTAAAACTTGGTCGGGAATCGAAGGCGTCGAAGCAAACAGAGTTAAAGGAAGCACAACGGCCCCAGGCAATTGACTGTTGAAAGCTGTGAAGGCCAGAGCCTTCCCTTCTCCAACATTCAGCTGAAAGTGAACAAGTCCCCTTGGAATCACAAACATCTGCCCAGCACTCAAAACCTTGGAGTAAAACACATTGTTGGTTGTCACAAACCCTACAAGGAGCTTCCCTTCAATGACTACACCGGACTCGCTCGCACGAGGGTGCGAGTGGGGCGGATTAATCCCGCCCGGTGCAAAGTCAACTCTGTTCATTGATATCCCAAGAGTGTTGAGGCCAGGAAATGCAAGGACATTCCCAGCCGTTAAGTTCGCTCCAAAGGGATTGCTCGTGTTCCCTTCTTTGCTCAGTCCATCAAAGAAGAAGTCATCAGAAGTAGTTTTTGAGACGGGTTTGCAGGGAAAGCCATTAACTGATGTGGAAGCATTCAAATCTGCCACACAGAAGTCTTGTAACGGATCAGGGTCTGCACCATGGGAGGGCAAGGGAAGAAGAAGCATTGAAACCATGAGGCAGAATAGCAAGCTGAAGACTAAGCTGGATGAGGTGATCATGTTCATGGCTACAACAATAGACTTCTGCCTCCAAAACCAAGTCGATTATGGTTCTATTTATCTCTTCCCATACCACATAAAAAAATTGCTTCTGTTAGTATTGGATTTGACAACCATGACCAGCTGAAGATAAAAAACTGAAGTCTTTGTATTGGACAAAGAATTTAATTGCATATTGGTGGAGGTTAGTTGGCTTTGACAAAGTTACCCTTAAAAGACTTAAAAACAAAAGAGTAAATTTGAAGCAATCATGTAGTTTCCGAACAGTTTACATGGACATCAACATTTTATTTAAATAATTTTTTTCTTGTTGTACCGGCAAAATCCAACTAGTAGCTCATTGCTTAGGGTATGATTTCCAGTACAACTATGAATGGGTTTAACTTTGTGACTTTTTGTGCATTGTAGTGGTTGCAACTCGTGACACTCGCTAAAACTTTACGTAGTTTATTTTTTTTCTGTTTTTCTTTGTTTTGGTGAGCATTGACATAGCTGACATTGAGAGGTGCTTAGTCGTCGGCGTAGTTTACATAAGCATGAGAGCCGCATGCGGTGTAGCGAAAAATAATTTAATCATCTGAAAATTCAAAACGTACCTTGACTAGTACATGATTAAAATAGTAGCTTAAAACGACTTTAATATAAAAACACACTAGAAAACAACATCTTCATCCTCCTAATAGTAATAAGCACCACAACAGCAGATCATCATAACTTCACCCATTAATTTGCCAACAAGAAATCCCGTATGTGTCCTAATAAGCTCGAAACTTTTGCGTCGGAGTGACGGTAATACAGTGTGGCATGTGGCATGGTTATGGTGTGTTAAGAGTCCACCCAACTATAACATGTAGATTAATGAAACTCTTTGAACATTTCAGCGTGCTGCGTGCTGGAAAAGTAAATGAAATTCTCGGCATGCCATGATAAAGTCGAGAGATGTTTAGTCGTCGGAGTAGTTTAAATTGATCTTTCAAACAATAATGGATCATAAAAGAACCATAGACCTTTTGATCATGGTCTAAATCAGTTTGAAGAGAAAATGCGCACGCTGCTCCAATTTGAAAAGTCTCTAATTGAAATATTCTCAAATTTTCAATAATGAAGCCCAACATGATAAAGAAATCTTCTCCAAAGGTCCTATCGAAAATCCGTATAAAAGCCGTTTTAGAAAATGATGCAGGAAAAAAATAAAGGGCGGAAAGTGAGAAGCTTTACTGTAATGGAAGTACAACATGAAGAAGTGAAACTCTCCTGTTTGATTCAAAATGAAGACCAATGGGCCTAAAAACGGAAACAATAGGGGGAGAAGAGAGACAAACCCCAGTTAGTTGTTTAATAGCACATTTTTCACACAAAACCAAGCTAATTTCCTATAATTTAAAAAGCCAAACTCCGATCTAATGCTGTTCAATAACATCTACATCTACTTAAAAGCCTCAGTTAATGCTCGGTCGGGATTGAAGGCGTGATGAAAGGAAAGTACAAGAGACCCAGGCAAGTGACCGTTTGAATTTGGCCGAAAGCGAACCAGTCCCCGTGGAACCACAATCATCTGCCAAGCACTCAAAACCTTGGAGTTACACGCATTGTTAGTTGTCACAAACCCCACCAGTAGCTCCCTTTCAATAACCAACCCAGACTCACTTGCACCGAGGGTGAGTGACTGGGTTCGATTTGGATTTGCTCCGCATGGAGCAAAGTCAACTCTGTTCATTGATATCCCAAATGTGTCGAGCCAGGAAATGTGACGACATTACCAGCTGTTACATTCACCCTGAAAGAGATTGGTGCTCCCCTTTATGCTTGGTCTGTCAATTAACTTTTGTACCTCTATCTTTACACAACATATGCCACTCTTGGAGCACTGACGTTTGAAGAGCACGGTGTTCAGCCTCCTCTGCAGTCAATTTTGACAGGGTTGTAGGTCCCTTTGGTTTGCCATCTTCCTCACCATCTTTTTTCTTTTCCTTCTTTTTCTTTATTTTATCCTCATCTTCTTCATCACTTTCTTCTTCATCTTCGTCATCATCATCATCATCAGATTTGGGAATCTTGCGTTTAGGCTGGGCTGCCTTTAGCAAAGCTATCCTTTCCATTGAGATTCTAAGCCTCTCAACAGCAGCCACTTTCACTTCGTCTTCGGGCATGTACTCAACACCCCCATCAGTGAGGTCATCTAACCAGCCCTGGAGATCCGATCCAATCTCCTTTGTAATTGATGCATCAGAAGCTCGAACAACAAATTTGCATATCATGGTTGTAGTCTCATCACCCAGGTCAACATTCCGGCTCACTTCACTAGCTCCAAAGATCATTAGGCCCAAGAAGCCACCGTACCAAGTTTTTGCAGCAAAACAAAGCTGTTCCAGAACAAAGAAATCAACATGAAATTTGAATGGTTTAGGGTTGCAAATCAAATAGTAACAAAGAAAACGAACTTCCATAATAGGAACACGATCAGTAAAGTTTCACAAAAGTAGAAACATGCAACAAATAACAAAAGAGAGACGGAAATCAAATGGTAACAAAGAAAAAGAGATAATACCTGAAATCCTGCCACTGTCCGGATAACATGTGAACAAACTCTGTGGAATGGTTTGGATGACAAGGATTTCAGCCCACTCAGGAAAGGAGATGCCCCATACTGCTGTGCAGCAGTAGCCTTGAAGCCACTTCCTTCGTAAGTATATGTACCAGTGTACTCTACTATGGCTGGTAAACTGGGCCACAGACGGAAAAACTCAACCGGTGAGATCTTATGTGGCATAAGAAGCTCGGTCAGTGGAATTTTGTATGGCTGACACCTTAAAATTACAGGTTCTCCCAGTTCTGGCCTTAAACTTCTCTTTTGTCTCATGATTTGAGGATCTTCTTCGGTGTAGTCTCCTTCATAATCTATAGCAGCACTTCCATAAAAGGGGTAGTATAAGACTTGAACCCAAAGAGAGCACCTTTCGAAATGGGAGACACCCACAGTTACACTGCAAAGTACCGGATCCTAGGAACAAGATAAACAAACAAAATCAAGATGCATTGCAATAGAAAACAAGATGATTCTTGACAAGCAGATACAACAAAAAACAAGATGCATTGCAATAGAAGACAGGGCAAAGAGGACGAAGAACGAATTCATTACAGAGGCAGAAAGTAAACCTGTGAAACAAGGTTACGCAACTGCCGTACTGCTTGAGGGGATCCATCCATAAAGTATAATGCACCAGATAACCCAACTCGAATATCAACCCGGTTGAGCTCGAGCTCAGTTAAATTTAAGACCTGCACATTCATCAACAAGGAATAAGAACTGTCAAACAGAAACAGGAAACTGGAGTCTGCCCAGAACATAAAGGGCTTTTAAAAGCATTAAAAAAAGGTAAGAAGCAAAACTTAACCTTCAAATGCAGAGATATCCTTCCATCACTAGCATCTGCCAGATGATATGCTTCAAGGTAGCAGGGATCACCGCTACCAGTCAAAGTAATTGCACTAGGAGGAACTTTGATAAAAGTAGAGTCAACTCCCTTAGTCAGCAGAAGGGTTAGTTCACTGGGATCCGGCCTCCAAAGTTCTAGAATAGCCTTATGAACCAATCCTTCTAACTTTCTATCCTGAGCTGCAGCTACTTCGTAGAACTGGACAGTTAGTTTATGGTGGCTAAATGGGTAATCACCTCTGGCTTCACTGACTCCTGCCCACCTGAAAAATAATTGTAACTCCCTCATCGTTTTACATTTGTGCGTAGATATGCATAATTTCCCCCCACTAATAACAGGTATTAATAAAGCGAAAATTACAAAACATAAAAGCACAATCTATGCAGTTATATAGGACATACGCATATGTGATGTATATATGTGCTTATATATATGCACAAACACATGTATGCATTAGACAATGGTCCAGTAATTTCGTATTGAAGATTAAGAGGATGTGCCTCCACTTTCATCAAAGTCATTCTCTCCTTCCTGATAAACTCAGTTTGACCTAGGCCAAAAATCAATGTCTACACAGATTTCTTTCAAATATCTGGATCCATCAATCAAACCACACTATTGGTGAAGGTGAAACCCAAGCTCCAGCCTTAGCCAGTGTTTTTTATTTTTTATTTTTTGGGAACAGTGGAGAGAGAAGGGCCCAATAGAAGAGATATAAAACTAACTATCAAAATAATGCAGATTATCACTGAAAACGGCTTTCCACCCCAGGGGGAACAAAGAAACGCCTCTTAAAGGCAGACAACATGGATGTAGACTACTATAATCGTATATTGGGCACAAAAAGAAACTTCATTAACAGTTTGGTACACACCACCCAAACTCTATGGCAGATGGCTCACCCTTACAGATTAACGAAAATATATAATATGCTCACCTGCTTTCTGGATGACTTGAAACATACTTGATTTTCTGCAATATCAAACGGCACTGATGCTTGTTAACAGAATCCGCCGTACTACCGTTCCTGAACTCTTCAAGTTCTTTAGTCAGTAACTGCCCAGCCCTAAGGTTGCGTGATCCCAACCGCTGGGCACATAAAAGAACTGCTTGAACATCTAGAAGCCTATTTGTTGAATCAGCAGATGAATCTATATTGAACAAAACCTTGTGGATATTTGATACAATAATGTTCAGTGGATCCTCAGGATCATCAGCAAGAAGTGGGTCCAGACCTTCTAAATCTATGTGCTCAGAAATAGCCCAAATAAGGCGAGCACATATTCTTGGGGTATTCACCTGTATAATATGCTTCAGTCAGTGTGCTTCCCTACAATACATATGCATTGCCAGTATGCTAAATTACATTAATCAAAGAAGAGAGGTACGTACCTCACGTAGATCTTTCACAAGTTCACGTTGCAAATTTTGTAGCCTTGTCTCATTTAAAATTTGGTCCTGTGAAGCCCCGTCTTTAACTCTTTTTACACCTCCCCTAGTATCATAGATATGGCAAAGCCTCACAAGCAACTTCAAATAGCAATCAATTGCATAGGTCCGGCCATCACAATCCCATTTGACACAAGGCCTGCAAACCTCCACCACTTCCAAAGCAGGCTCTGTCCAGTTTAGTGCGCCATAACCAGTTCCATATGCCAAGGCTCCAATAACCCTGCTCTCCATCCCTGAGTTCTTTTGTTCAGGCAAAGGCAGAGACAGCTGAAAGCAACTTTCAACTAATGACGCCACTAACTCCTCCCTAAATAAGGTCTTGCTTGTCACACTATTAAGATCATCTTTTATTCTCGCATCCTCAAAAAGTGAAGCTATATCAGTTCCAGCAAGAGGTTTCTGGCCTCTACGGACACTCTCCTTTGCGAAGAGATCAACACAAAGCGCTGTTCGACAAATGCATGCTAAAGCATGCATACGATCTGATTCTGCCCTCAAGTTTCTCACCATAAGAAGCAGCCTCTTAAACAACGAAACCTACACCCAATTTTTTCTTCTTCTTAAAAATACAACTCATGTGAATTTAATTTAATTTATCATCCGTATTGACAAAGATAAAAGATTGATTTGCTATATACCTGCATATGAAGATCGAGAAGGTGAAGATTGGTAACCACAGCTCTAACAATACTCTCTCTTGCAGAAGCAAACTCTTGCCTATCCCAAAGTGTGAGAATTGCGATAATTGACTGTGAAGCCCACTCCGGCTTCCCACCAGGCACATCAGCCAAATACAACAAGTCAATCCCCACTTCGAAAATCAAAGCTGGATCCAATGACGAAGCCAAGAATGGCACCAAATGCGTGACCACATCCGAAACTCCCACCAACCTCTCTGCATTGCTATCCACAACAGTCCCATTGGAGCCCTTAGACGACTTCGACAACTTCCTTATGACCTCGACCGAGCCTGAAGCCATGGCCTTGACCGCGTACACGATCGGAAACACAGTGGCCCTGAAACTCTCCACGGGCAAAACCAACGATCTCGCCATTAACGCACTCCGCTTCTTCCACACGAAGTCGACCATCGAGGAGACCCAATTGGATCGAATCGCGAGCGAATTCTCACTATCGACTAACTTATCACCCGCTAATCTGCTCATGCGCTTGGAATCGAACTCCTGAAACAAACGCCCCACCGACTCGAATGCCACCTTCGATACGGCGTCGGATGCGTCGAGCATGTTACCTCCGATGCGGGACCACCAGCTGGAGACCTTATCGAGCAAATTGACATTGTTCTCACAGAGCGTGACGAGGTCGTCGCGAGCAAGAATGCATCCGAGGGTTTCGGTGATGGAGAAGCGGAGATTATCGCTCGGAGAGTCGAAGCAGCTGTTGATTTCTTTCTGGGCGTCAGTGATGAGCTTGGAGAGGCGGTAGGAGGGGATAGCGGCGAGGATTGAGATGGCTGCAGCGCTGACGTCAGGGTCGGGGAAGTCCAGATCGGTAAGAATTCCGACGCAGACGGTGTCCCAGAGGTCGGCGGTGAGGCGGGTGGAGCGAATGAGATCAAAGGCGAGCTTTTTGCAGACGGCGGAGGCCGGCGAGGCGACGATCTCTTCGACGGCAGACTTGGCGATGACGGAGATGTCACGGCCGGCGGCAGATTGCTGGAGGGCTTGGAGGAGAGCGCCGGACTGGCGGAGAGCGTCGTTGGAGCGGAGGTCCGCTTGGATCTGAGCGAAGAGTATGTCCATTTTGAGAAGCTGAGATCAACTTCGGTCGATGAGCTGACCTGTTTTAGGGTTCGTTAGGATTTGAGAATTTGGGACATTGAGAGAGAGGAACTGAGAGTTTGGGCAGATTGCAGTAGTGGTTTAGTTTGAAGAAGAAAATGGTGGTGGTAAAAATCATCAGGCTTCTTGGCGGTTCAGTTGGTTGGCACGGCCGGGTTGGCAACAACCGAGTTCATTGTCTGGCTGAGTTCATTTGAAAATTGGCCTTTAAAGGAAGATGTTGATTGTTGGAAGCCCAACCCAAACAGCTTGTGATTTGGGCCTTAAGTTGGAGGTGAAGCCCCATTAACTTTTCTTAAATGTTTCCTCTAGGCCCTTCTTATTGGATCTTACTTGGATCCGGAATATGGACCTAGGTCGGGAATCACAAACCCAAGATTTGAGATCCATGATCCGAAGTTAGGACTCCAAACCTAGAACTCGGATGTGGGACGTTGAATTCGGACGCAGAACCTCAAATGTAATATTATAAGCTAATCTAAACATGAATAATTATGAGCTAATCCAGACCCATAACTCATATGTGGGATGTCGAATATGGATTATTATACAATCTAAACCCTAAAGTTCATCATGTTTTTTTTTTTCACGGGTCAAAGCGCGAGAAAGACGAAACAGGTGAAACTGTGATGAACTAAAAATTCTTTTATTAGAAGAATCACTACGGTGGTGCTGACAATGGAAGAAATTGTGATGGGAATCCTCATAAAAACTATAGTTAGAAAGACGTAGTTATTTAATACTCCATAAAGTCCCTTCTTGCAATTGTATGTCTAATAAGCTGCAATGCATTATGAAACAGATGCAAAAGGGTACATAGCCCCAACTTTCTCCTTTCAAACTTCTTCTCCCAATAAAATACTACATACAAGTTACAATACAAACAAACCTTCAAACATAGTATTTCAAAAGACAAACTTGGCTTTAATGTTGTTGATGGCATCTTCATCTACTAGAAAGGTCTTGGTCAGCACTTCGACTGGGATCGAAGGGGCCGCAGCAAACAGATTCAGAGGAAGAACAGTGGAGCCAGGCAAGTGGCTGTTGAAAGCAGTGAAGGTAAGGGCCTTTTTTGGTCCAACATTCAGCTGAAAGTGAACAAGTCCTCTTGGAATCACAAACACTTGCCCGGCAGTCAAGACTTTAGAGTAGTACACATTTTGAGTCGTCACAATCCCTGCAAGAATCTTCCCTTCAATGACAATCCCAATCTCGCTTGCACGAGGGTGCGAGTGAGGCGGGTTAATCCCACCCGGCTCAATGTCAACTCTGTTCATGGCTATCCCCAGAGTGTTGAGCCCCGGGAACGAGAGGACGTTCCCGGTTGTCACAGTCACCCCAAAGGGGTCCGTGAAGTTAGCTTGCTTGCGCAGCCCGTCAAAGACAAAGTCATCTGAAGTAACCTCCGAGAGGGGCTTACAGGGGAAGTTGTTGGCTGATATGGAGGCACTCAAGTCCGCCACACACAAGTCTTGCAATGGATCAGGGTCTGCACAATGGGAGGGCAAGGGGAGAAGAAGCAGCAGCAATGAAACTGTGAGGCAGAACAATAGCAAGCTTGGTGATGGGGTGATCATAGCTTCAAAATACTACTACACTGTGGTTCTACATATGTATATATACATATAATATATGTATTTTAAAAACTATTTTTTTTTCTACATTATTGGATTTGAGGCCACCATTAGAAGCGACCAACTAGAACTCAACAAAAGGAACATCAGCATCCATAGTACAGATTAGATAGATTTATATTGGAAAAAAACTCGTAATCATTGGATATTGGATGACGCTAGTTGGATAAAAACCAAAGTTAACATCGTCAAAAATCTTGTTTATGTGGGAACATCTCTCAAGATTATTTGGGATCTAGGCCGGCTTTGATTTGAACCATTTGGAGCATAAGGCAATACTGAAAAAAAAATGGGGCCATATGTCAAGTGGAAATAAAATAAAATAAAATATGGTCTTAACTTACCTAAACAACATTCAAGTAGAAATTTTGTAACTCCATCAAAGCATAACTCTAAGTTTTCTTTTAAAAATTGGGGTTTTTTTTTAAAAACAAGAAGGTTGGTTTTTTTTTAATTATTTTAAATCTGGGTAGAGCTTTTTATTTGGATCTAGTAAACATCACATGATTTTTTTCTTTTTCTTTTTCCTTCTTTTGGTAAGTATTTGCATGGCTAATTCATATGTTGGTCGTCCAAATAGTAATCTTAGGGCATATTTGGGAATGCTTTTGGAAATGCTAAAAGTGCTTTTAACATCATTTGACAGAAAAGTTTAGAAGCGTTCTGAGTCATAGAAGTGCTTTCTAAAGAAGCACCTGCCATGTACTTCTTCAGAAAGAACTTAGATTTTTTTAATGAAAATTTAAAATTTTTATAATAAAAGCGCTTATGAGCAATAGTATTTCCTATAAAAGCAGTCCTAAACGAGTCTTAATAGGTTACTATCCAAATGAAATTATAATAATCACGGTGCTAGTCATACCACATTTGCATACCATCTATTAGAAAGGTGGAGCCTTACAATACATTGAGATTCACCTCTATTAGAGAAGTAGTACACACAATGGTATATAAATGTTGTATGGCTAGCATTTTTGCTCATAAAATTTTATAGTTCGATAGAAAGGCATAATTCTTTGTTATAATTCATTTGAGTCCCTTTGTTGCAATTGTATGCATGTCTAATAAGCTGCCATACAATACATAACATTATGAAACAGATGCAAAAGGAATGTTGCCAAAGAGAAATAACAATAAAGAGTATGCACATACGATACAAGGACGTACGGCCCCAGCTTTATTTTTCAAACTTCGTCTACCCATACGACATTAACATTACTATATACATACAATCCAAACCTTCAAACAAAGCAAAACAAATCGAGAATTCCACTCATTATTTTAAAAGACGAACTTGGATTTCATGGCGTTGATGGCATCTTCATCCACTAGATAAGTCTTGGTCAGCACTTCCATTGGGATTGAAGGGGCCGCAGCAAATAGACTTAGAGGAAGAACCGTGGAGCCAGGCAAGTGGCTGTTGAAAGCTGTGAAGAAAAAGGCCTTTGTTTGCCCAAGATTTAGCTCAAAGTGAACAAGTCCCCTTGGAACCGCAAACACTTGCCCCGCAGTCACGACCTTACCGTAGTACACATTCTTAGTTGTCACAATCCCTGAAAGGATCTTCCCTTCAATGACAATCCCAATCTCACTCGCACGAGGGTGCGAGTGAGGCGGGTTAATCCCGCCTGGCCCAAAGTCAACTCTGTTCATGGATAACCCGAGAGTGTTAAGCCCCGGGAATGAAAGGACATTCCCGGTTGTCACGGCCACCCCAAAGAGGTTCGTGACGTTACCTTGCTTGCTCAGCCCGTCGAAGACAAAGTCATCTGCAGTAACCTCCGAGGGGAGTTTGCAGGGCAAGTTGCTAGATGATGTGGAGGCAGTCAAGTTTGCCACACACAAGTCTAGTAAAGGATCAGGGTCTGCACAATGGGAGGGCAAGGGAAGAAGAAGAAGAAGCAATGAAACTGTGAGGCACAACAATATCAAGCTTGATGCTGATGAGGTGACCATAGCTTCAGAACACGCTACTTTCTTGTAGTTCAAGCCAAGGTAAGGTACAGATAGACTCCGGTTCTACTACATATGTATATATATACATATTAAGACTTCATTTTTTATTTCTTCATTATTGGATTTCAGGCCACCATTTAGAAACTTACTTTTTTATTTCTTCATTATTGGATTTCAGGCCACCATTTAGAAACTAAGTATGCACAAGCGACCAACATCAGCATCATCCATGGTGCACAACTAATAGATTTATATTGGAAAAAGACACACCTAATTGGATATTGGGTGAGGCTGGTTGGCAAAACATCAAAGTTAACATCGTCAACAATCTTGTTAGTTTTCCAAACAGTTGAGACTAGTTGGCTATATGTTTATATGCTACCTCATTATTAAAGATATCCGTCTGATTAACGGGTACAATTATGAAGATTTAGAAAATGAAAGAACAGTAAATATATATCCACGAAAACCATTATTTGACTAAAATATTTTAAAAAATGATAATAATCAGTTTGTTTATATGCTAACTCATTATTAAATATATATCTATATCCTTATGATTCACCTGGTGGTCCAATTATGAAGATAATTTTGGTTATGCTATAGAGTATGTGGGGTTCATAACTTTACAATCAGTATGTGGGTATTATCTAGTGAAGCAGTTCATGACTGCATGAGTTGAAAGCAACTTCCTTACAATCAGTATGTAAAAACCGAGTAGAGGTCAGGTACCCTAATTTGAGAGTTCAAATGGGACCACTTCGACAGATGCATAAACTCATGGAATTAAAATAGTTTAGCAGAAAAGCAGAAGAAGAATACAGGAAAAGAACATCCTCATTCTAAAAACAACAACTTTGATGTACCAGAGGACCAGAACTTCGCGGATTCATTTGACGACGCTGGGCGAGCCCTGTATCTCAGGCAGACCAAGATTATTTCCCTTAACAGATCAAGGGGAAGCCAGAGTCCAACTCCATGAGGATCTGATCTACGATGAAAGCTTCTAGTTTTGTTATCAAGGCCTCATCCTGTATATGTTGTATGAATTTGATAACCCAAAAGAAAAATATTAACACATACCTGAATTTGTACCTAGAAAAGTGAAGAAAAAATACACTCATAATGAAAGATTTACTCAGTCATACCTGTCTAAAGCTGCTGGGCTGATGGGAATAACACCCGCCGGGGACACAAGCGCATCCACCAGAATGTCATGTGGAGTGACCGGTACACCTTCATCCAATATTTGTACAGAATAGGACAGTGCAACTGCAATAAAGCCACCAACCTTGATTAAAATACCAACACTACCACCATATTACCTAGAACATTGAGTACACTGACTTTCAGATCCAAGGCATATATGCTACAATACAAGGTGAAACAAAAAATGATGCAGACCAAGGAGTGGTTGCTTCCAATTGTGTGTTTTTGCAAGCTCTTGGTAGTTCTTCAGGAAGGTATCATAATAACTGTAGAAGTTACAACACGTTAACATCAATTATGCATAAGATACTTAAGTTTGTTTTCTTCAAAACATATAAGGGAAAAAAAACCACGGCTCTAGCAGCCTTTATTTAAGGAGAGCAGTAATATCTCCAAACAACTGAATACATGGTACTTGAAAAACCGAATAAAAACTTTATAACCATACCCTCCACCACGACCCAAGCGTCTCCCAGATCTGTCAAATGCTAGTCCTGCCAGCATAAAAGGATAAGCAAATGCAGTTAACTACAGTTTGACTTTGATAATTATAACACATCCTGTAAATGGATGAGTATTAAGAAAATAGGAAGAAAAGTTATACCTGGTAAGAGGAACAAATCAACTGGGTCGCTTGCCTGTAAAACTGCACCAAGAGAGACCCTTTAGATATAAGATTCAACATAATTACATCAGTAAACTCACAATATATAATATGAAACCCATCCTACATTCTTTTCGTCAGCATTAAAAAAAAGTGCCAAGGTGTCTATGAAGCCCACCCCTACATGAACATATGGACATCAAACAATATGATTCCAGGAATAAGGCTTATGTATATCAAGCTAAACAGCCTAGACAAGGTCTCGGTGAAGGGAGTACAAGAATTGTGCCATGAGTTTCAGAAAAACAAAGGCTACTCATGTTTCCTCTCCCTATCTTGTTACTTATAAATTACTGTGTTACAATTTCTGGCAACATTCTGATGCCCAAACCTGAGAATTATAATATTGCAAATAGTTATTTTAAAGGAAAACTAGGCTTAAGAAACCCTGTTGAAAGCTGTACGAATGAGAAATTTTCCCATCCTAACCTGGTCTTACACAATTGCTTAGTTTTTAGATTGTGCCACCCATAAAGAGAAATGGAAGACACTACTTTGAGGCTTCAGCAGAAGCACTCTCAAAAGAGCAAAACTTTGGAAATTTGACTACAAATCTTAGAATATTTTAATCCCATCTCAACTTTTGTAACCTCTAGTATTATGAAGTTCAAATTTTAATGCAAATACTCAAAATTTTCAACTTTGAGACTAGTTTTGTGACATCAAGAATCTGTAAATAATAGCGAATGACTACAATCAAAGACATTATTATCCTCTAAAATAAGTGAAACATTACCATCTTCCCGTACATTTCCATCAGCATCGATTGGAGCTGGTTCTAAAATGTTCATTGAATTCGCAACAAGATCATCAATACATGAGATGTTGAGCATTCTCATGTGACAATTCTTGTCCTCCACACGCGGAACATAAAGCTTTTTCCTCACCTGCACATCACCCTCTTCATAAAACACAAAAAACATAAGAATCCAGAACAAATTTATCAAAAATTCTGATTTCAGGCTACTATAGCATGCTAAAAAAACTAAAATTTGGAGATGGGCACATAAAAATAACACCTTTGAGTGGACTTTGAAGAATTGCAGACAACACGTTGGAGGTATCAACTTCCCTCAAAGCACTGCAGCATATATATGCACATAATCTTTGACTAGATCTAAACCACGGAGCTTCCAACACAATGCTCTGGATTGCATTATCTAATCAAAAACAAAAAATTTGCAGACTTTGAGTTTTTGTTTAATTTACTCAAATGGAATTGACGCAGAGCATACTGGCTCAGTAAAGTGAAGAGTCGCTTGTTACCTTCATGGGATCTGAGTGTGGGGTCCATGGCCTTGAGGGCTTTGCGGACTTTGGACCGTAGGATCCGTTTCTGCTTGAATATGCCGTCGAGATTGTCATGCTGTTGTTCTTGACTGTTGATGTTCATTGTGATTGTTCGAGTGGAAAGTGATGGTGGTGCGTATGAAGGTGGAGGGCGAAGGATAGCGGCGCGGGAGAGTTTGAGGGAAATTGCGGCTACGGCGGATGGTGGAGTTGCTAATGTGCACGATTGGGTCATCAGCGCCACCACCAACCTACCTGCCATGTGCGCGCGTCCTCTTTGTCAATTACTCTGTTTTATACCAGGGCCCTTGCAAAAGTTAGTTTTTATGTTCAACACACATCATGGTTTCTGATTTTTTTTCTTCCCCATTTTGAATTTTGAAATGTCTTATGTTATTTTTTCAAAATGCAATACTACATTCTTATAGAGTTGTGCTAACGACAGCTGCTACACATTTTATTCTGACAAAAAAAAACACAAAGAAAATTTAAAGAGCTACAAAGTGCACTTTAACATTCCTCACACTTTAAGAAAGATGTTGAACCAAATACAAAACAAGTCAAACCTTTTACAAACAAAGAACACAATCTTCCAACAAAACCAAAACTATAACTAATCAATCTTCAAAGCATCTCAAAACCTAAACTTGGATCTAATGTTATCAATAATATCTTCACCCACTAGAAACGTCTTGGTCAACACATGGTCAGAGATCGAGGGCGTGGCAGAAAATAGATTCAAAGGAACCGTAGCAGAACCAGGCAAGTGACTGTTGAAAGCAGTAAACTCAAGGGCTTCACCTTCTCCAACGTTGAGCTGAAAGTGAACAAGCCCTCTGGGAATCACAAAAACCTCCCCAGCAGTCAAAACCTTGGAGTAAAAAACATTCTTAGTCGTCACAAAACCAGTGAGGATCTTGCCTTCCATGACGACCCCAACCTCACTGGCTCGAGGGTGTGAGTGAGGTGGGACGATGCCACGTGGTGCAAACCCAACTCTGTTGAGTGATATGCCAAGAGTGTTGAGCCCAGGAAATGTGATGACATTGCCAGCTGATACAGATACCCCAAAAACTTCGGTTTTGTTTCCTGGTTTGGTCAGGCCATCGAAGAAAAAGTCATCTGATGTGATCTCTGAGATGGGTTTGCAGGGAAAGTTATAATCGGCTGGTGTGGAGGCACTTAAATCTGCCACGCACAGGTCTTGTAATGGATCTGGGTCTGCAGAATAGGAGGAGGGCAAGGGAAGAAGAAAGAGTACAGAGATTGTGAGGCAGAGTAATGGAAAGCTTGATGAGGTGATCATGGCTGCAAAAGACTACTTAATTCAGTTTCAAAACCAAGTAGTTTTAAGTCAAGTATATAGAAATCATATATGGTACCTATCTGTAAGTTCATTATATTTTTCTTTTGAATTATTGGATATGAGACAAGCATTAGAAACCAGACAAGCAAAATCCAACCAGAATTAAACAAAATAAACATCAGCAACGGGAAGAAGGAAAGGGGGGGAGGGAAAAAAAAAAAAAAAAAAAAAAAAAAAAAAAAAATGTTGGAATTGGATATTTAATTGGATGTTGGTTGGTGTTGCTAGTTGGCTTATTGACAAGGATGTTGTGAACTTGTGTGATACTGAGATAAAGACCGAAGTTAATAGAATAGGGTTGATCTTTTTATTTATTTTGGTTATGTTTCAAATAATTTACATGTTTTGGTCTGAAATGGACATGGAAGATATTGGTCAATCGAGGCATTAAAAGGGAGGGATATTCGAACACATGACATAGAATGATGATAATTATTCTTAATCAGTTAAACTATAAACTATCAAAAGAAAACAATAAATAGATGAATACCTATACTAATTATTTAAATTTAAATTAAAGATGGGTTTGTTTTTTTTTTTTTTTTTTTTTTTTTTTTTTTTTTTGGATTTGGTGTGTATTTCTGGTTTTTTCTTTCTTCTTTTTAATTAAAAAGAATCAAAGCAATATTATACAAGAAACACAACAATATAAGGTTTCTCACATGGTCAGCCAAATGTCAAATGTGGCATTTTGGACTTATTTATTTAAAATTGGTTTGTTTAGTGTCATTTTTTATTATAACAGTTTGTTTAGTATTTAAAACTAATTAAAATAGTGGTGGTTTGTGACTTTAATGGTAAAGAGTATTTAACTCACTCTCAAACTGAACGTTCAACGCTCAGTCTCCCAATGACCCATATCGTATTTTTAATCAGATATCATGAGAGAGAGAGAGAGAGAGAGAGAGAGAGAGAGAGAGAGAGAATAACTAGTTTACTAATCCATTCGAGTATGGGAAGTAAAAAAGTCCATAGGCAATCCCAATTACCACTTCATTGGATGTGATCAAAACAAGATGGCGAGTACAAGGATCAACCTTGAGCTTGAGGTGTCAGTTCTTTTTGTGGCTTGTAATTCAATTTTATTATTGTTGACGCAGAAAAATGGTTCGGCACTTTCCCGCGCAACTTAGTGATTAAGTCTTTTCGGTATCTGATGTCCTCGGTAGGGTATGCGATCTGTAAGATAGCAAACACACGGTAAATCCTAGGGCACCGGTGTGGTACCGACCGAAGGCTCTTCGATGCTTAAGTAAGTACGGATTTAGTAAGTTTGAACTGCAAATCAATAGGCAGTATGCCGTAAGTTCTGATTGATTACCTTCAAGCTGGGATGGATGTCCTCTTTTATAGGCCTTGGGAGGTGTGCAATTTGTTTAGAGTTTCGATGTGGGACTCTGGGCATCAGTTGTGAGGCCGCCACGCGTCAAAAGGGGCGAGGTTGCCCTAATGTTGCGATCGGTAGGTTTGGTACCGAAGGTGAGTGCCGAAGGCACACGTAGCCCTGGTTTAGTCCACGTGTTTGATATTCATTGGGTGTTCATTTTGGTATAAACAATTATTATTTTCATGTAACTTTAGTTGTTAGTGTAGGAAGAAAATTTGTTGCAAGCATCACATGCTAATGTTACCTGAACAAGACACTGATCACATTGGTTCACAGACACAAACACCATTTATACTTTGTGATTATAGAGGAGATTTTACAATTCTTCGGGACAAAATCAACTCATTGATTGATCATGGTATATTTTATATAGGCCTTCATATTAACTCATTGATTGAAAATTGGGTTTTTCTGTTCAATGGTTCTTGAATTTTGACATGATTCACATTTTGGTCCCCCAATTTTTAAAATCGTTCTCTTGGTCCTTGAACTTTATTTTGTTAGGACAAATGATTATGCCATCAGTTTTGTTAACTTTTATGTTAAATTTGAGCATGTGCATGGCACATGGTGTACTGTTGATAGTCAAAATCGGAAATTGCTTTACTCATGGGAGAAAATTTTCCTTGTTATAGAGATTCCATAGTCAACATCCCACATCAGCATCCCCATCCAATAAAATATTGACAGCTGGAAACCAATTTAAGTTTCAACTTAAAATTTTACAAATATTTTTTTGCACCTATTTTCTCCTCTCTCTCCTCCATTCCTTTTCTCTCTTCAATCACTCCTCCTCCATCATCACCCACACACCCTAGATTCCTCTTTTCCTCTTCAATCACTCATCCTTCATTACCCAGACACTATCTCTATGCTCTTTATCAATTTTATTTTATTAAGTTATTTATTTGCGAAATTTTGGAAATGGTGGAGTTTGAGAAAGATTTGGGTTGGCTTGGGTTTCTATGGAGGAACAATGTACAATTTGGGGGAGAAAAACTTTCTTAGGCGTTACTCTCTCTCTTCCATATATGAGGAATCTATTTTGTTTTTTTTTTCCTTTCAAATTTTATTATGTATTGGGGAATTTTGGAAAATTTAGAAAGAGTGTGGCTGAGAAACTGTGTTGGGTTCGGGTTTTGTCGAGGAGTGCGGTTTGGGGGAGAAAACTTTCCCGCGTTACTCTCTCTCCTAAAGATATGAGGAATCTCTCTTCATATTGAGCCATTCCATTATCACCTTTTCATCTTCAATTTAAATATATTAGGGGAAAAAAAAAGGGGAGAAATCAATAGGTGATGAAGGAGTGACTAAAGAGAGAGAGTAACATAGTTGCACAGTTTTTATGAACTGAGAAACATAAATGTAGGAGAGGATGAGCGCTAGAGATCGAAGAGGAAGAAAATGGGTGCACAACCCTTAAAAATAATACAAAAATATCAATTTGCCCCTATATTTAATAAAAAATATAACAAACTTGATAGCATGACCATTGTCATACTAAAAGTGAAATTGAAGGACCATGAAAATGATTTTAAAAATAAAAGGATCAAAATACAAATCTGATCAAAATTTAAGGACCCTTAAACCTAAAAACCCCTAATAAAATATAAGAAAATTTAATTTGAAACTGACATAGCACGTCCAACTCATCAGCCACATAATAATAGTAGCCTTATTGATTTGGAAATTACATCGTCCATATGTTATAATTTGGGCCAGCTATTGGATACATCGACATGCCAATGCCACATGAATGTTTCCACATGATTGTCAAGTAAGGTAACTTAATAAATATGCAATCCTACAGCATACACGAACAATGTGCTCACCAGTTACCAGCAACAAAAAAAATTGAGCTTCAGCACCCAATCCTAAATTCTCTCTCTTCTCAAACCCTAACCCTAATCTCCAGCATCTCGCCCCGATGAGATGACCTAGAATCAACTCCATTTCCGGCGAGTTCAGCTCAGACCGTGCCCCAATCAACGAGTAGCGAAGATAATTCACGACGATGCCACCGCACGCCGATCTGGACCGTCAGATTGAGCACTTGATGCAGTGCAAGCCTCTGCCGGAGCCAGAGGTGAAGACGCTGTGCGAGCAAGCGAGGGCGATTTTGGTCGAGGAATGGAATGTGCAACCGGTGAAGTGCCCCGTCACGGTTTGCGGAGACATCCATGGCCAGTTCCACGACCTCGTCGAGCTCTTTCGGATCGGCGGCAGCGCCCCCGATACCAATTACCTCTTCATGGGCGACTATGTAGGTCAGTTAGGGCATTATCACTTGGCCTTGTTGTTGTTTAATTTAGTTAATTTGTTTTAGAGAAATTAGCAGTAGATTGATTTTTGGAAAATGTGACATCTTTAGGAGCATGGACATGTCTTTTCGGTGGAAGTTTTCATTATTGGGTTGAAATGTAGGATTTTTTTTTTTTTTTTTTTTTTTTTTTTTTTTTGTTGAGAATGGGTAGGAAAGTAGGTTAATATGTAAATGTAACAAGGGGCAGGCCGGTGCCTTTTTGTTCTTTACAAAGAGGAGATTTTAGCTGGTTATTTATGGAATTCAAGGACTTGGGCAGGTTCTGAGCTGTTGTAGTAGAACATGAGGTTCTTACATTTATTATTATGATAGTTGGTTATAAGCTAGAAATGAACATTAAGTTTTTCTCTGGGAACACCTACTTCGGGATGACTTTTATGTGTGCTCGTGTTGTTAGATTTGACTTGTGTTCGGTCTGAGGGATGGAGCAAAGTAGTCACATGTAATTTTCAACCACACTAGGCTTAATAAGGTCTCTTTAAGTTCCCATGTCTAACCCTGCCATGACTTACGTACATTTTTCCAACGCAAGCCTAAAAGTTAGTTCAGATGATTTGACCAAGCATGCCATCTTATCCATTGTTTTCACAATTTTTAGTTCATATCTCATTTCTTTGTATCTTTATAGTTCGGATTTATTAAGTAGTGTCTTATCTGAGCAATGAGCACACTATCGATCTTTGAAAGTTGATGAACAAGCTTATTAGACATCTTTGTCTGTAAACCTGAAATTGAAAGCTATTTGATTCTCTGACTATGTAGTGGCAAGTAGGACACTACCTTCCTTTTAATGACAAAGATGATTTAATTTCACACAATTTTAGACTGTTCAATCGTTTTGTTTGACTGGAAAATGCTTATACAACTTTTGTCAGTAATTATCTTTTGTTCTTTCTTATCCAGATCGAGGATACTACTCAGTGGAGACTGTCACACTTCTAGTGGCCCTGAAAGTACGTTACAGAGATAGAATTACAATTCTTAGAGGAAATCATGAGAGTCGGCAAATAACTCAAGTGTAAGGCATTATTCCTTTAAAGTGTTTCCATCCCAAAAGTGAAACCTTACAAGTATCGATAGTGAAGACCAAGTCGTGGAACTCACTGTTGATCCGAAAGACTTCCCAATTAGTCATTTAAAAGAAGCCATTTATATGTTGTAGACAGTTTTACCTTTATCTTTTTCATTATGTTGACAAATACTCCAAGGAAGTTGCTAAATTTCATAGGAGTGATGACACACTAGGGTTCAAGTGTTTTAATTAGTCATTCTGAAATATCAAATCCTGATTTATATCAGTAAATTGTTGCCTTCTCAGGTATGGTTTCTATGATGAGTGTTTGAGGAAATATGGAAATGCTAATGTCTGGAAGCATTTCACTGACCTTTTTGATTATCTTCCGCTCACAGCCTTGATCGAGAGTCAGGTTTGAATTTTATAGATATTATCTTACCCTGTTATCCCCATTATTCTCTTTTAACAAGCATTTTCCCCTTCTTTTAGATCTTTTGCTTGCATGGTGGACTCTCCCCCTCTTTAGATACTTTAGACAACATTCGTGCTCTGGACCGGATACAAGAGGTACACTAAAGTTTTCGTCCTCTAACAATATATTTTTCTTCAGCAGGTCTGTTTTATGTGTGTTACACAAACTGAGAGATATATATAAGTGAAATGCATGCTCACATTGTTGTCATAATTTATTTTATGCATAGAAGGTCAAAATTGTCTCATTCTCGTTTTTGATCTGCATGGATGGCTCACTTTGGTTGTTGGGTTTGCTTGCCTGTTAACTCTTTATGAAATAGAACCTGAGCAGTCCTGATGTTCCAATATTTAACTCGCTTTATCTGTAAGTTATGCAATATTAGTGCCTCAAGTATATTAATGTAGAGAGAAGTCACCGACAAAGCTTCACTTGAACAGATTGAAGTAGCACATCACTGACTCTGGGGTTGTTTTGAAGTCTTCCATATTAGACAATTTTTTCAAGATATACTGGCATAATCATCTCTTGAATACTGGTGTGGCATTGTCATTTCATGGTGTATGAATAGACAATTTTAGTAATTCTAGTCTTCCCCTCGTTTGAATGGGAGCAGGTTCCTCATGAAGGTCCGATGTGTGATCTCTTGTGGTCTGACCCGGATGACCGATGTGGGTGGGGAATATCTCCTCGGGGCGCAGGGTATACATTTGGACAAGATATAGCAGCCCAATTTAATCATACTAATGGGCTGAGTCTTATTTCTAGAGCTCACCAGCTTGTGATGGAAGGCTACAATTGGTGCCAGGTTAGTACATAAGAAGCATAAATACTGTTTCACATTGATGCTTTCAGAGTTCTGTTTCTAATTTTGTTTAATTATTTTAGGAAAAGAATGTTGTCACGGTGTTTAGTGCTCCAAATTACTGCTATCGGTGTGGAAATATGGCTGCAATTCTTGAGATTGGAGAGAATATGGAGCAGAATTTCCTTCAATTTGACCCAGCACCTCGGCAGGTTGAGCCTGATGCAACACGCAGAACTCCAGACTATTTTTTGTAATCCACATAACTTACCACCCATTAGCAATTCTTCTCGTTCCGTATTTCTTTTTGTAGATTTGTCTTACAAAGAAGATGAGTTTTGATGTTTAGTTGAGAAAGAGACAGAAAGAAAACATATTCATTCTTTTGGTTAAAGTTGTTCTGTTGCTTAATTCATGTGATTTATAGGATTATCTCAGTAAGACTTGTGTCTTGTATTAAAAGAGTTGAAAAGAATGACTGGAAACAGCAATAACTAGTTATGTGCTTTATGAGCTGCATTCAGTTTCAGGTGAACAAAAAAGAATTATTTCCAGATTCCAATTATGTGTTTCTTTCGTTTTTGTTTTTTCCTTTCTCATAGTTGCGAGAGGTTGGCTGGCTCTTGTTTTTGTTTTTTCCTTTCTCATATTTGCAAAAAGTTGGCTGGCTCTTGTTAATCTACGCATTCCAGACTAGTTGTCTTGATCATCAATGGCAATTTCCGCCTTCTCTCTCCCTTTCCGCTCTCTCTCTCTCTCTCTCTTGATGTAATTTTAGAACAAAAGTTTTGGGAAAGAAAAATTCTTTTTAAAAGACAATATAGGTACAGAAAAAGCATATGCTTTTTGGTTTTGGATCCATGCATGAAGCAACAACTCTAGTGAAAAGAGAAAAACTCTAGTGGACAAGAAACATGTATACTCGAAGCAATCATCTGTGGAGGTTCGCAAGGCCGTTCTGGTCCCTCCGAGGCGGGGTTTGTTCGTCAGCTATGAAGATTTTTGCCTCACCTTTTCTACCTTCTCTGGCATTGCCAACAATATCCTAGCATCCTTGTAAAGTAAATGTTCATAAAATTATAAATTAATTGAAGCTTTAACTGCAAGCTATCTATCTAATCAAAGAGAAGATATCATGTAAAATTGGGAAGAGGATTATAAGCAATTACCATGAGAACTACTATCAGAAATTTTTTTTTTTTTTTTTTTTTTTTTTTTTTTAGCTGTTTTTCTCCGGTTTGCGGTCGGGGGACAAGGTGCCATGAAGCTTCTGCAAGTTTTGAAGTTTTTGATCTCTGTCAAAAGTTGTGTTCCTTCGCTATGTTTCTCAAGCGTCTTAGCAGCATATTCTAAGAATCCAGTGTCCGTTTCAAGGGCCTTCACCCTTTCACTAAGATGAGACAATAATGACAATTGCCTTGTTAGAGCAGCTTTGTTTCCATTTCCTGCCATATTGGAAACAGAAATTGGTCTTTTGTTAGAAATGCAATAGAACATGCTCAAATTCTACTTCAGTGCGTGTGCGTGTGTGCATATACACGCATACGCTCATGTGCATGTGTATAAATGTATGTGCTTGTATGTATGTGTGTGTGTGTGTGTGTGTCTGCATATGTTTACCTATCTCATCATCAGGATGATTCAGACCATCAGAGCCCTGCAAGGAATGGAACCCGTTAGCTGATAAGTTACTTCTCTTATCGAGTTTCTTCATCCGACCCAGGAGGTAGGTTTTCTCCTCTTTCAAAGGTTTCAAAGATTCAGCAAGCGCTCCCTCTACGTTCTCCTCCTTTGATGACACGACTTGATCATTGGGTGTGCTCTCCCCATTATGCTCACCATTGTTCAAGCCTTTGACCTCTTCACCAGCCTCATAGCCAAATTCCTTGAGCAATCCATATTTTTCTCTATAAGCCTCTACTTCAGTTTCTATAATCCTGAGCTCTTCCTCTCTCTTTGCAAGCAGATCATATGTTGCTTCCAGGGCTTCCTGGTCATACTCTGCCTGTTCCTCCATCATTCTCTGATATTGTAAGGCCTCCATCTGAACAGCAGCCTTCTCTGCTTGTAGCCGGGTGATCATGGCCATTGCATTGTTTGCTGCAACAGCTGAAGCACTTCTTTCTTCATCCAGCTCCATGTACAAAGCCATCAGCGACTTCCTATCCAACCGGACCTGTCTCTTCAACCGGTGCAAAATGGAATCACAATCAGCATCATTTGGAGTGCTCCCGTCGGCAGATTCTAACACAAAGTCGCTACCTTTTTCCAGTGGTGATTTCCTTGAAATCCTCATAGCCACCCTGGGACTATTTGTAGCTGAATCTGTAAGTGGGATCCCAAAAAACCTGTTTCCTTTGCCAAAAACAGGTGTTCTGTTTGCATCATCAGTTAAATCATCACCTTCTGTCAATGATGGCACTGCAGAAGCTTTGGGATCTTCCTTGACTGCTACACAAATTCCATCCTCCAAATCAGTTAATGGTTTCCAAAAAAGAAAAAATCATATTGGATTTGGACAGATAAAGCGTAAAGCTGCCAGCTTAAAGATACATGTAAAGAACTTAACCAAAAGGAAGCTAGAACAAGGTTTTGCGCTTAACTCACATTGAGAGTCACGATTTGGTGGGTGTGATCCATACTCATCCTCTGGAAGCTCAGACTCGTGATCAGACATAAGTTTGAGTTCTGTGTATCGAATGTGGGGCAACTCCAAACCACGATTCTCATCATTTCTCAACGGTGCTCGTGGAGAAGGAGCCGGAGCATGTGCTAATGCGCTGCCATTTTTGCCCTTAGGATAGGCGGAGGAAGTAGAGCTCATCTTCAATGGCACACCACAACACGAACACGAAACCTGAACAATGCTGCCACTATTCTCAACCTGCCCTGCTGCCTCCTCCCATGTCCTTGCTGCAGGCACACTCAGCTGAATTTGGTGGTAATCATCCTCAACAAAGCACTCAAGATCCTTATGCAAAATACCAACCAAGGACTTGTATGTATCGCAATCAGATTCTTTCTCAGTAGCAAATGAAAGTAGGCATGCCTCACACATCTTTCTTATATCAGACAGCTTCTTGTGGTTGTGGCAATAAGCAAGATATGAAACATCTTTCCTGTGAGCTTCACAAATGGAATCATTGTAATAAAAATCTTGGTCCCTATGAACGAGGATGTGATCGATTCTGGTGCAGAGCCAACATGGGATTCTCAGCTCGAAGAACTTGGCAAATTCATTGGCAGCAAAGGCAAGGAACCCATCAATGAAAAGCAGAATGATTAACGTCCATTCGAGCAAAGCGTAGATCACAAAATGCGGCAACTTTCCCAGCTCTTGTTCAACATAACGAGTAAAGGATCGCTTGGCCATTTTAGTTGTGTTGATTGAACACAGAAACAACCATAAAACCAAGAAATATTTGGCCTTTATTTATCCTTATCTGGGTTGCTGCAGCTTTGTTAGGTCTAGATTGTGGAAATGAGAGATGCTATGAAAATGGAGTCAAAGTGCTCAAAGGCTGATGAGATGGAAGATCATGACCTTGGTGGAGCAGACCGTTCCTAGATCATGACCTTTCTCTCTGTGTCTGTGTGTGTCTGTGTAAATGCCTAAACAAGGAGAGGGGCAAACTTTTCCAAATCAAGATTTTAAATTTTGGGTGGTGGAATTTGATTGCCTATATATAGAAAAAGGGCTTTGGACAAAAATGGCGGTTCTGAGGCTGAGCCTGTACCTGAAATAACGGTCTATCATGCACTTTCCAACCAACAGGATTAGTATAAACGCCAGCATTTTCATGACAATAGAGTTAAGCCACTGATTTGTCCGGCTTTGCCTTTGTGTTCCAGAAGAATTTTTGTCTATCCCAAGCCTTGGGCCATATTTCGAATTTCAAAATGTTCAGGGTCTTAACTATGCTTAATGAAGATTATGAAGGGTTATATTTGGTGCTCTAAAGCACTGCCCCTTTTACCATACGTAGCTCCAAGACATTGGACAAACAAAACATTCTGAAGGTCGTTTGTTTATAAGTGTCATGTAGGAAGCTTAGCTTCTGGACAACTCAACCATCCCAATGAGTTATTTGATCTCTGCCGGGAAAGCTTGAACATGTAAAGAGTTAGATGATGACACTTTAACTGACCCACTCAGCATTTACACCGCCAATCTGTATCACCCAATAATTTGCTAACCAAGTGGTACAGAAAAGTCCGACCACCGGAGCATCTGCCAATTTCAGAGTAAGTCCATGATTCAGCAATGCAATGCAAACCATTCCATGAACCATAAAAACTGAAAATGCAGTTCTGCGACTCAAAGCAACAAAAATTGCTTCACCACAAAAACGAGAAAGAGTTTCACCAAGTTATTGACTGATGCAGGTCAAGTAATATGTGTTCTTTTAGATATGTGTAAGAGCTTCAACAAAAAAATAATTTTGTTACAACAATTGGCTTAATTGTGCAATCACCACTGCCCAATAGTATAAACATAAACCCTTGATATTTTCTTTACGATCAAATCCAAGTGTAATAAAGATATAATCTATTGGAACTACATAAAACAGGGAGCTGCCACAGTGCTTGCCCATCTCTTGAACAGCAGGAAACTACTTAGCTTAATGACTGCAAACGAGGTCATTTGAAACCCAAGCAACTGTGGATGAGCTTAGCTTGCAGACAAAACATTCGCAGACATATAAGGTGATATGCACCCCTGGACCTGAAAATTCGGTCCATTCAATAAGAAGAACATATCAATATTAATGAATATTGCTTTACAGAGATTTATTTAACAGAAAGAACACTCAATAGTATTGGATGAGATAGAAATATATATGTTAGGTGAGCAACATGCCAGTTATTCTGTTTCATTTACTGTAGCTTATACGCATCCCATATAACAGTGAGAAACTGATTGATTGACTATCCATGAAACAAGAACATTTCATCTCGATGTTCCTATAAGATCAGATTGTATTGGGAAAAAGGGCAAGAAATCCAAAATTGTCTTCCACACAAATGCATGTGAGAGACTAAGAAAACATCTATTACATAGGAGGGGTTCAGTTACCTGCAACAAACCAGTAGGAATTTGGATAAAACCTTGCAGAAGAAGATTGACCTTTTCCAGAGTGCCTCTTGGAACAGGTGTTATCACATATACCAAGCCTTTGAATGTGTCAATGCCTCTCACAATTCCTAGATAAAAAAGGCATCAACCAAAATGCATAAGAACCTTGGTTCAAACTGATTGGTTCTACCTATCTATATGTTTCCACATTGCACCAACAATAAAAATCTGGATTTCTCTGATAACATAAACACAAAAAACTAAAGAATGTAATTTACTGTCACCACTAAACCAAATTCTAGAAAAAAATCTTCTTAATTTTCCTGAAAAATCACAATTAGAAGAACACTAGTTCCCCCACATATTGGAGTCAGAAAATATAAAATTATGAGCAGAGCCATACAGAGAAGATGAAATATAACCCAAAAAAATTGCAGCAAAGCAGAGTAACCTACCAAGACCAACACACCAAGGTAAATCTTCCGATCCTTCAGAGCTAACTGCCAAGCCAACAATGGTTGCGTTCAAACTATAGAAGATCTCAGAACCTGGGACCTAACATAAAAGAACTAAACTATTACAAACCTTAATTGGAAAGATAATGACAATTAACAATAAATCAAAAGCAATGAGGTAGAAAAGTAATCACCACTAAGCACTCCCTCAAAATGTTCAAAAGAACCATACAGAAAACAGAAATAGAATTTAAAATTCAATCACACATGTAAGACACCAAGATTTTAAAATTTCCAGAACCTGCAGGGTACTGACCTGGCAATGCAGATGTCTAATCTTAATGCTAGATATTGGAACTTCATAAGGAGGGTGAGAGGCCAAAGCATGAGCCAGTTCTTTAATAGTAGTAATGTTCAAGTTACTTGAAAAGCACTGTCTGAAATAAGCCATTATTCGTACATCACGCAACAGGCGTGCATCCTTTTGTACTAGAACCCTGCAACACAATGGAGATTATATGTTACAGAGAAAGGCAGTACATCCATCTCTTCTAGCAAGCATATGCTACTTACTGAAAGAAAAAAATTATGCAAATGACTGACACTGGATAACTTGAATGAATCAATGATTTTGTTCGAAAGAAGAACTTCCCCAGGTTTAACTAAAAGCAATCACCTCCTACAAATTCTTTATGAAACACAGAAAAGAAATTTGGCATTTGGTCTAAAACTAATACGAATATTGCAGTATTTGATCAAGCAAGAAAAGAATGCAACAATGCACCGATGATTCTCAACAGGGGGAAACCAATTATAAAAAATGTACAGATAAGCTGCACCAAATTAAAGTTTCCAGGTAACGCTGAGGACATCAAGAACTTACGATCTATTGAAAGAGTCCTGACGAGCTGAATTGATCTCTATTAGATTTAGCATCCCATCATGATCCTCATCTAACCAGAATGCCCCACATGGTAGATTCTTACTCTCAGCAGATATGTTTATTTTAACAACATGGGTAGGGGCCATATACTTCAACATATCCACCAATATATCATAACCAACACCTAGCACACAAGAGCAATGACGAAATCATATATTATTCATAACCAGACAACAATACTCATTAAAAGAAGATTCATAAGATAGCCCCTAGGGCCTTGCCTCAAACAGTACATGGCTAGGGTGGAACTTGGGTAAGTCTAGTTCGTATCTACAGGAGAAGGCCAAATAGGAAGGAAAAAAGTAACAAAAAACAAAATATATGATTGGAGAAATTGTTTGATTGCAATTAAAAGAGAGAACCAGTTGACCAAGTAAAAGAGCATACCTTTCACCCAGCCAGGAGTATTCACAACAAGAGGCAATCCAACTTTAGCAGGGCTAGCACTCTTGTCAAACAAGCAGTATTCCTTCTGATAGTAATCATATAAAGCAAATATATAATTCAAGTATGTTGTAGGATTCCTCTTTGAAGAAACATCACCGAAGAAAAGACATCTGTGAAAAAGAGACAAATTATAAATTTACACTACTCCTCAATTATTCTCAAGCTTCTACACTACTATTCTGAATTCTATAAGGCTTGAACCATCAACTACACCATTCGTGAGCTAAATTGAAATCTTTATGGGACACCCTTATTTTTCATTGTTTATTAGTCTAAGCCTTGCTCCTAAAGACAGTCATATTTAGCCCATTAGTATTCATATCCATGCAGTCTCAAATAACAAGTATTCTGCAATACATAATAGCAATATTACCACTTCCTCTAACAAGTTAAAAACCTAAACTAGGCAGATAAAAGTTCATACCTCTCCGGTGTCTTCAGATGTGGGATTGTCAAATCTATTTTTAACCAAAAAAGGAAAAAGAAAAACTCAATTAGCAACAGAAGCAAAAAAGAACACCTCCTCTAACATGTTTAACAGTTTACAGTGTGAAACAAATTATTCACAAGAAGTGCAAAAAATAAACAATTACCTGGAGTCACTTCATCTACTACAGTGAGAGATAGAAAACCAGGAGGACTAAACTCAGGTTGACCAACATCTGTATCCAAGTAACCAACTTTTTTATACCTGAAAATAGAAATAGAACCACAAAAAATTAATAGAACATCACTGTAAAAAAAACAATGCAATTATAGAACTCACACAGCCAAAACGTAACAAAACTTCAAATTCAAAACAAACCCATAAAAAAATGAAAACTTTTTCCAAATTCCACTTCCAAAGTAGAGAGAATTCATAAAATAAGGTGACCCAGTTCAGCTAACATAAAAATAAACACAAAGAAATCAACGGTTACTTCAAAAACTAATCAGATACGTGAACTTAATAAACGGTTGCAAAGTGGGAAAGGGAACTGAGCAGCTGACCTCTGGAGCAGAATGTTCAGGAGGTAGCGGGAAAAGGTGGATTTTCCGCAGTTTTTGGCGCCGCATACTATGGCAATGGGAGGCGGCGAAGTGACTGAGTCGTATGCTATACAGTCTGCGGCCTCGGACCACTCTGGCGGTATGTAAATGTTCGGCGACGGGTTTTCGGGTTCTGAACGTGAAGCCATGCCTCTCTCTCTCCCTCTCTTCTAGCTTCTTTCTCTCTCTACTGTGTTTTGCTCTGTAGCAGAGGAAGAGCGGCTTGTCGACTGAAACTTTATATGCGCTTGGAGGCAAAATTGCAATGGCACATGTTGATTTCATGAATTTGCCAACAAAAAAAGCATCACTTGGTTTGACTGTTTGACCCCCGGGAAAGGAGACGGTTCGGGTTAATATTCGGATTCGAGTTGGTTGACTGGGCGGGATGAAGCCCAAACAGAAATGGAAAAATTACAGCAAAACAACCCAGGCCTGAGCTACACCTTGGGCCTCCTAAGCCTACACCTTACAATTTCTGCTTTAAAAAAAAATTCAATATATAATTTCTTTTTCTTTTTTGTCCAAATTACATTTTTGGTTCTTTTTGACTTATTTACCACTCTGATTCCCGTCATTTTATTTTGAAAAATTTAGGGGTGAGGATGAGATTGAGAGAGAGGATTAGAGGAAATGATGGAAGAGATGAGTAATGAGTAATAAAAGTGAAAACAATTTTAAATAGATTTCAATTTTTAGTTTTTATTTTAACTTTTATTACTCCTCTCACCTCTCATCTTCCCTCTCGTTCTCACTTTAATTCTTCCTCTTTTTACTCCATACTCTAGCACAAAAAAATGAAAAATGAAAAATGAAATAGTTATCAAACGGGCCCTTAGGTATTCTAGTTTTGCTTATCACCTAATATTTTCCTATCAAAATTGGAAAGAAAAAAATATATATATATATATAATATTTATATTTTCGCTTTGAGGCTCCCACAAAATTACTTTACTGGTGCGGTTAAAGTGTTCCAATCCATGAGGGGAATTTTCACATGGACAATCTGTCCAGTGGGCCCCAATCCGATCGCCCAGCCACATCTAAATCAAGCGCCACGTGTCCCATCGACCAGACATCTCTTTCAATTTATACAGCCTCTTTCACTCCACAGCGAAACCCTCCCCCGATTACTCGGATTGACCAAGAGTCAACCACACTCCCAGATCGGACGGCCAGCGAAATCCTCATCGCTGATCAAATTCAACCCCAACCCTTATTTCTCACTGGGGCGCCAAAAGCCCGTTTTATCAACACAAAAAAAAAAAAAATAACAAAAAAACCGAAAAAAAACAGATAAAGAAAGAAACAAATCGAAACAAGTGCGAGAGAGCTTCGAGCTACTGCAAAACCATGGAGCTCCAGAACACAGTGAAGGAAGCGCTCAACGCACTCTACCATCACCCCGACGACGGCGTTCGTTTGCAGGCCGATCGCTGGCTTCAAGACTTCCAGCGGACGCTCGACGCCTGGCAGGTACTGTGCGCTTCACTCTGTGTTTTGGTAGATTTGAATGTGCTTTTCTCTTTTCCTGAATTTTTGATCGATTGCTGAAGCTTTGGAGCGTTTGGTTCTCGATTTGGGTTTGGGTTTTTGTTTAGTTTACGTTGTGATTTCAGTGATTACTTTGGTATGTTTGACCATCGTGATGCAATTGGATTCGTGAGTAGTTTGGAATCCCTAGTTCATTTTATTTGAATGAGATGAATTCAATTTTAGGGTTTATTTTCAATAATCTGATTTGAGCGGTATGCTAAGGTCAGGATAGTATTACTTAATTTCTTATGTATTTCATTTCTAATGTGCGAAAGGGGAGCCATTTGTTGCTTTGATACATTTCTCAGAAAATTTTGAAAATTAGAAGTTTTACCTTGAGGAATTGATAGATTTCTGGTTGTCATATGTCTTTTTTATCTAGAATAGGATAGACTATATTTGTACTGTGCATGCATATACATATTCTATTATGTTATACTTGAACTAATTTGTCATGCAACTCCTAATATGTTCAATAAAACAGAGGTATGAAGTCAAGGTTGATCGGTTCCCCATTATTGTCTCCTATCTCTCTATCTCTATCTCTATCTATATATATATATATCTAAACTACAGATAAAATTAAATACAACAAGATTTATCCGTCTCCAGAATGTGTTGAAAGTGTCCCAAGACATGTAAAGCAGTTAATTAAGACATCCCACTCATAAACTATGCCTGTGCTTAGTAGTCACATAAATAAAACATACAGACACATGCATACAAGGTGGTGCAGCGAGTGTAAAATCTATCAATTCATGTGGCTATATATGAATGATTCGATTGTATGCATGTGTCTGTATGTGCCTGTGATTCTCTTTCAAGTTTTTCGTTTTTATGGGTGTTCTGAGTTTTTCCCTATTGAGTAAAATCTGTTGTTATACCTTTTTGGGTTTTCGGAACATTAATGTGCTTATTTTCTATTAGGTTGCTGATAACTTGCTTCATGATGCAACTAGCAATCTAGAAACTTTAATCTTTTGTTCTCAGACCCTTAGAAGCAAGGTAATTATCTCCTTATTGTTAGTTATCAATGTTCATGCACTTACTTTATTGTGTTATATTCCCATAGTTGCTTAAGATCTAATGTCCAAACTATGTAAGCCTTGGTTAGGTTGTGGTGGTTTCTTGTGTTAGATTCTTAGTTCATTTTGCATCTCGTCTAGGTACAACGAGATTTTGAAGAACTACCTTCTGAAGCTTTTCGTCCATTACGTGATTCTTTAAATGTGAGTGAGTATCCACTATCCATTGTCAATTTGAGTGAGAATTGAGTATCCATCCTCAGTTTTCACCTTAGTATCTTCTTAGAGTGTAATGGAACTTTTTCTTTATATGAAGAATGGTTGATTGTTTTGTTACAAATTTTGAAAGTTTTTTGGTCATGCGTATTTTGGGCGCAGAACTTGTTGAGAAAATTCCACAAAGGCCCCCCAAAAGTCAGAACTCAGGTATTATCTAGAAGTTTCTTTGACACTCTTTCATCACATTTTATGATCCCAAGAGGATATATGCTCAAGTATCTGGCTTTGTAGATTAGCATTGCTGTAGCTGCTTTGGCTGTACATGTTCCTGCTGAAGATTGGGGGGGTGGTGGTATTGTGAAGTGGCTTCAGGATGAGATGAATTTGCATCCGGAATACATACCAGGGTTTTTGGAGTTACTAACAGTTTTGCCTGAGGTATATAAATGATGCTTGCTAAATTTATATTTGCACACTGCAGTTGGCATCTGTGTTTGACAAGGATGATTAAATCTCGTCCATGTGAAATGATGAAAGCGCTTTATAAAAAGTTAAGTCATTCTTCATAGTGCTACTTGGTTAGATTGCAGTTTTAAAAGGTTTTCATAAAGATTTCTAGGAAAATGATGAAAGTGCTTTATAAAGTTAAGTAGCGCTACTTGCATAGATTGCAGACTCAAAAGGTTTTCATAGTGATTTTGACTTTTTTTTTTCATTGTTTCTGGATTCCTTCCACACACCCACCCACACACACACAAAGGAAGCATGAGGTGAAGTTCACAAATCTGACATATAATGCATGTCCTTTCTAAAGCATACTGTTTCTTTCCTAATCCTTTCAAAGTTATTCAGTATCATGCTCTTTGGTCTTTTCTTACTTTTATTTTAACTGAGGGTTATTCATGTAGTGAAGCACTGGAGTTATTTTATTAGCGGTCTTATATATGGCCCAAATAATGTATTTTTCTTTCAACTTTAGTTGCATCATTGTTGACGCATGCCTAATTTTTCACCGTGTTCGTAAGTTTTTTACTTCTTGGATTTAAAATCAGGAAGTATTCAACTACAAAATAGCAGCTCGCCCGGAAAGACGTCGCCAATTTGATAAAGAGCTTACTTCACAAATGGAGGTTGCTCTTAACATCTTGACAGCCTGTTTGAATATTAACGAGCTTAAGGAGCAGGTGATTATTCTCATAACTGTATAGATTACTTTATGCTGATGTTTGAGATTTACCAAGTTTTTCTCTTGGATGTTATAGTGCTTTTTTTTAATCATTTTTAGCTGGTTGGTTTTTCAGGTTCTTGAGGCATTTGCTTCTTGGCTTCGACTGAAGCATGGGTATGAACTTTTGTTGGTTTGATGATCCCTGGTTCTGTGCTTGCAATTAATTGGTGTTTTGTGCAAACTTAATTAGGGCTTTTTGAGAGGAAACAAAGATTCGTGGTACTTAACTCAACTTATGTGGGTTTCAGGATCCCTGGTTCTGTGCTTGCATCCCACCCATTGGTGCTCACAGCCCTCTCAAGCTTGAATTCTGAGCTACTTTCAGAGGCATCAGTAAACGGTAAAAACAAATTGGATAAGCTGATGTTCCTCAGGGAACTGTATTGTAAATTATATGCATTTACTTCATCAATTTCTGTGTTGCCTTTGGGCTGATTTTCTTATTTTTCCCCCCTTTCTTTTTCCTTTGTATTGCAGTTATATCTGAATTGATACACTACACAGCCGCTGGAAGCTCTGGCGGCGTCACTGTGCAGATGCCCTTAATTCAAGTGCTTGTCCCTAAAGTAATGAATCTTAAGACGCAGCTTAGAGATTCTTCGAAGGTATTGCATGTGTAGAGTTGTACAAGTTTCCTTTTAAAATATTTGATTGTTTACGTAATCTCTTGTTTAAGCGGTGGTTTGGTCCATTTTGCATATCTATTGGGAATATTCCTTTGATTGCAAGTTTGGCACTGGTTATATATGTGGGTTCCTTGTTCATGTTGGTGATTGTCTAGTTGTGGATGTTCTTTCACAAGGTCCTCATATGAAGTCTGGGTGATGATTGATTTTGTTAATGCCAAGGGCATTAGGTTTTTCCAATCTGGCATCCAATTTTATCTTTTTTTAAAAGGAGTCATAATTATCGTGAGCTCATTCATATTTCTAAGGATGGACAACAACATTCTTAATCCAGGCACTAAAACTTTTTTTTCATGTCGGATCTGGGTTGACATGTGTTGTATACGAGCAGCCAAGATTATAAGAGTTATTTTCCTGAGCTACTTTAAACATTAGTCACTTGTATTTTCAAGAATTTATTTATTCATTGATGTGATAGGACCTTATCACATACGACACCCTTTTTGTTTATCATA